CTTTACCCTCTTGAAAACAACCTTCGTTTGTTACTTGTCTTTTAAGTTATTTCTTTTACCTTAAAAACCCCCTCTTGTTTTAGCTATATTCTGATCCCACAAGAATAAAGTGTAGGCTGGTCCTCTGGAATTGAATCTAAATATATTACAATTACACTGTTAACTTGACAGTAGACAAAGATCCAATTTTAGTGTATCAGATTGCATTCTAAAATATGTATATTTGTTTAAATATAGTGCTAATTAGTTAAAATAGCAAATTATTAAATTGTTAGTGAGTAATCAAAATGTTTTAGTTAGTTATATAATGAATTAGATAATTTTATGCTTAATTTAAGTGACAAAAATAATTAATCATGAAATTTAGGAGTTGTTAATATCTTAATAACAAAAGATGTAATAAAATACATGAAAGAAGGTCAACAAATATATGCAGAATTATGAAAATAAAGATAATTAATGAATTATTTATTATAAGTGAAAAATAAAACTGTAGTAAAACACTGAAATGGGTAAGATCTGTTTTGTATTCTAATTTAATCAGATAGATTGTTCTAAATAAAAATAATAATTCCATCCCTAAAACATTTGCGTAGCGATGTGACAAAATAATATTTTTGTCACAGACAAAATACAATTTCTTTTATAAATTCATCCTCAGCTAGGTTAATTTCTGTTACAAATAATGAAAACTTCAATCAAATACTACTGTGTCAAAATCTTACATATTTAATACGTATGATATTATTAACCGCAAGAACTTTCAACTAATTAATGTATAAATAAAAAGTGTTCTAAATAAATTATATTGAATAATGCCTTTAAATTTTAAATTCTAATAACATGATTTTAATGTTCTTTCATAAATTATATATTATATTCATTTATCTAATTTGATGTTTAACTATTACGTCATTTACTGCCAACCAGTTAAATACATTTACTTTCAACAAGTTGTCATATAAACCATTGATTATTGCTGGTAACGGTGACCACTGGCATCTACATTTACTACATTTTAATAAGTCGAGTTCTAAGTACAAAGAACTTACATTAACAAGACCTTTCACTCTATAATATTCATATATAAGTCTTCTAAAGTGGGATGTCTGTCGGAAAATTATCTGGCTGACGCCGGTTTGTCTCATCTAACCCGTTCCGCATGGGATAGGCTTTAATTCTCCAGTGTGCTTAAAAACGAATCTCGCATGCAGACTGCACCAGAGGCTTGCGGGTTAGCCTCCCTACATGCTCATGACAATCATATATAATGCCAAAAGAGCTGTCTTCATATTAGACTGCGACCTCGTCAAATTTCACAAAAGAAAATTCAGTTTCTACATTTTTAATTATGTCTTGGTCTAATGTTGTCAATAAATTTGGTGTTTTTTACATTTATTCTTGTGAAATTAAAGCATGTTGAACATTAAAATATTTTAACCTATATTTTTGTAAAACCAAACTAAATGGTTGACGACCAATATTTGGTTTTGAAAACCATTTCGTAACTTTGAAAATTCAAATTTTATTCTAGACATTCTTTAACCCTAATTAGAAGAATATGTCTCACTTGTAAATATGAAATTTACTTCAACAATCTCCTTAGTACTCAACAACCAGTAGGGTTGGACATTTTATTCGTTAAATTTGATTCGATTCGTTATTCGTTTCGATTCGATTCGAAAATTTCAAATATTCGTAAACTTTCGAAGCGAAGCAAATACTAAAACTCAATATCCGTTAAAATTGAAACAAAGCACAAATACTAAAATTTTGCGAATCGGATATCCGATCCGATCCGGCAATATATAAATACATGTATATCTTGATTATATTTAAAGTTTTAAATGTATAAAATTTTATAATTATCATTCTAACATATGATTTGACAAATTGTATTCATATTATTACTTATATACATGTATTAGATAAAAAGAAGAGAATTTTTTTATGACAATTATAATTTTTTCTTAAGTTTTGTGTTATTATAATTGTGAACTATGTTTAAAAAAATTACAAAATATGTAAAGTCGCTACTTCTTTTAATTTTTAATTTTTACATCATGCAAAAAATATTTTACAAAAAAAAATTATATCAAAATTTTAAGATTATTCATCTTAATCCAAACATATGAGATATCTGTAATCTGTAAGTATTCGTAAATATCTATTTATTTTCCGGATATCTGTTTTTTCGAAAATCCGTGTATTTTTTTTGAATAACTCGGTGTATCCTAGCACCCACCAAGATGGATGCAGACTAACGGCGAGTGTCCGTATCAGTCTACATTATCGGTTGGAGTATGTTTCAGTCATCGGACGCTGGGAAAGCCCAAATTTTAAAGTTTACTCTCTGTGGCCAACGTGATTCGAGTCCGGGTCCGTATTTAGACTGAAACTCCCTCAAGACCACTAGGCCGTTCTCGCTTGGTTAATATATGTATTTTACCGAACGAAAATAAATTAAAAAATTAGATATCTGTAACATTCAAAGTAAATTATAAATACTTTTAAAAACCTGGATATCCGATCTGTGTCCCTACCTAACAACCAGTTTAGTACGGTAAATACTCTGAGACTCTGACTATCAAAAACGTCGATTGACGTTAACTCATTTATCTACTTATTTAATACATCAGTCAAGAGTTTCAGAAATGTCAATAATATTGTGCCTTTTTCTTTGTTTGTTCCGAATAGTACAAAAAAAATATTTATTAGCATGGACAATATCAACTTAGAGAAGTCAGAGATTATAACGACGTCTCATATGGACAACAAAAAAATAACAATTGATTGCTTTTTTTTAATCATTTTAAATTTGCATGCAGTGATGCCACCCACGCCCTTGTTGAGTATAAATATGTTACTCGGGCGTTCTCATCTCATCTCATCTCATCTCATCTCAATATCTCATAAACCATACTGAGTAATAGCTGATAAATATGGTTATGTATTTTACGCAAGTCTATTTGTGGACGACGCTTCTTGCCACCGTGCTGACTTGGGCAATATTCCACGTCAGCAACCGGAGGAAGAAGACAACTAAGCTGGCGGATACGGCAGCCAAGGAGAAAAGAGACGGTGGTCCAGACGTCATCATCGTGGGAGCTGGTGTCGGTGGCTCAGCTCTTGCCTATGCTCTTGCTAAGGTAATTAAATTTGGCGTGACAGCGTCCAGCGGCATCATAATTTTGTTTGTTAATCATTAAAATATAGAGTAAATGTTTATAACTTATAACCAATTAGTTTTAGTTCATAATAATCTGAGTTCAATATAATATCAGAATCACCTGTTATTGAGATGCTACTTTGAATACATTGTTTCCACAATTACCACGTCTGAACGTGATGAAAGGTGATTAAATCACATACTAGTAATTAACTTATATATAGGATAAATGCCAATCAAAATTGTTTTCAATTGAGTTCAATGAAAACACGATAATTTAGAATTCAACATCGTTAACTATTTTCTTATTCTTTTTGTACGTGAACATTCGAATGTTAAGCTTTTATAATACCATGCATATACTTGCGACTGGAACTAACACTCGTATATATTGACATTGTGTTAAAGGACGGACGTCGAGTACATGTGATAGAGAGAGACATGAGCGAACCTGTGAGAATGATGGGTGAGTTTATGCAACCTGGAGGACGACTCATGCTAGCTAACCTTGGCCTTCAAGGTCTGTCTCCGCTTCACTTACATCTACATGTGTGTATATAATTTATATTGTCTCTTTGTTTCCTAATTAAAATTTTGCGTTTCTATATATAGATTGTTTGGAAGAAATCGATGCACAGAAAGCCCCAGGCTTAGCACTTTATAAGGACGGGAACAAAGCCCTCATACCTTTTCCAATGGAGGACAAGAACTTTCCTTACGAACCTACTGGTCGATCTTTTCACAATGGCCGTTTTGTACAGCGACTGCGCCAAAAAGCCTCTTCTCTCCCTAAGTACGTATCTCTTTGGAAACTAAAACGTTTGTGGAAATTTTGGATACTTCATCTTGGTTTAACCAAAGTTAAGCTGGTTATCTCGCTATTCTACAACAAGACGGCAAATACCTATTGAATATATATTTAGAATAATTGCACGTATTATATATGTTATAGTCGGTTTTTGGAGAGCTATCTGAGTTTGCCTCACAGAATTTGATAGTGGTTGTTGGGAGAAGTCTGGTCCTAACGAGAATAATTTAACAAGCTAGAGGGATGTACTGACCTTCGGATCCAACACCTATTAGTCCTTCAACTTTTTTTGACGTTCCTTTTGCTATTGCCTCCTAAATAACATATTAGTCACCAGTTCCTAGAATAAATATATATATATACTTGACAATATATATACTACTTTTTTTTCTTTTTTTTTTTGTGAAGCATATATATACTACTAAACTTGACAATAGCATCGAACTTCCTTATAACTACACCAAAAATTGATTGGCAGTGTGAAGCTGGAAGAAGGAACGGTAAAAACTTTGGTAGAAGAAAATGGAGTGATCAAAGGAGTGATATACAAGAACAGTTCAGGTGAAGAAACGACGCTCATTGCACCTCTCACTGTGGTATGCGACGGTTGCTTCTCGAACCTTCGACGGTCTCTCAATGATAATGATGTGAGTTTAGCTTTAAACCAAAACTAGGCTTCCATCTTATACTAAAAATTTAATTAGATAGAATTACTTTGATTTATTTTCGTACTTCATAAGCATCTTTGTAATATAAATTTTTATTATAGGCGGAGGTTATGTCGTACCAAGTTGGTTACATATCAAAGAATTGTCAGCTCGAAGAACCCGGATACTTACACATGGTAATGGCTAAACCATCCTTCATCATGATGTATCAAATAAGCAGCAGTGACGTACGTTGTAGTTTGGAGATTTTCCCCGGAAAAATTCCTTCTATTGCCAATGGTGAAATGACCAACTTTTTGAGAAACACTATGGCTCCTCAGGTACGCATTAGGCTGATAATTAATATCTGATTATTATAATATAACTAAATATATGTTAACGTAGAAATGTCATATATACTCACAATCTAACAATTAAAAGCAGTCTATGAGTCCAGTTTAACATTTCATTAACACTTATTTATCAGGTACCTCAAAAACTCCGCAAAATATTTTTGAAAGGGATCGATGAAGGAGCACAAATAAAAGTGATGCCACTAAAGCGCATGTCAGCTACTTTGAGCAACAAGAAAGGTGTGATTGTGCTGGGAGATGCATTCAACATGCGTCATCCAGCAATCGCGTCTGGAATGATGGTTTTACTATCTGACATTCTCATCCTACGTCGCCTTCTCCAGCCATTGGAATACCTCGGTGATGTAAACAAAGTGTCAGAAGTTATCAAGTCCTTTTATGTTATTCGAAAGGTTAGCATACGTCATTTACTAATCTAAAACATGACATTTTCAAAATCCTCACCAAAATTTTGAAAATAATACATGATTTTGCATGGTGTAGCCAATGTCAGCGACGGTGAACACACTAGGGAATGCATTTTCTCAAGTGCTAATTTCATCGACAGATAAAGCAAAAGAGGCAATGCGACAAAGCTGCTATGATTACCTCTCTAGTGGTGGCTATGGCTCGTCGGGCTTGATGGCTCTACTCGGTGGTATGAACCCTCGTCCACTTTCTCTCATCTATCATCTATTCGTTGTTACTCTATCCGCCACTGGTCAACTGCTCTCTCCATTTCCCTCTCCTCGTCGGATTTGGCACAGTCTCAGACTTTTTAGCGTAAGTTACTATATCTATTTCTCAAAAAAAAAGTTTCTATATCTTTCTTTATATTTGCATTTTTATTTCCAATGAAACTTCCTAGTCATTGTTTCTCTTCTTATATTACAATTTTTATAGAATTGTTACCCATTAGAATTTGACATTGTTTTTGTCTCTTAATTTAGTTTTCTTTGAAGATGCTGGTTCCTCATCTCAAAGCCGAAGGGGTTGGCCAGATGTTTTCTTCAGCATCCGCAGCCGCGTATCGCAAAAGCTATATGTCCGCGACCCCTCTCTAAGCATCACTGCTTTGAAATAATGAACTAAAACATATCAGGAGCGGGAGTCTTTGCGATTGTGCGTTTCTTAAAATTGTATTGCATTGTGCTTACTATTACATATTAATAAATAAATGGAAAATAGGCGTCGGAATATTCTAGGGAAATAAAAGGATTGTAATAGTTAACTGACTGTTCATTGGTTAAATGTTTGTGTATGGAATAAAATGTTTTGAAATACATTATTATATTTCAAAATACATTAGTCAGTTACATATACAGTTACGATGAACAAAAGTTAACTGAGAAAAAATCCACATATTCGATTTTCTAAAAGAAAAAGTAATTCATTTTAAATTTTATTCCTTTTATTTCATTTCTCAAAAGTTTTTGGAAAATATCAAATTCAGTATTCCACTAATAATTCAGGTTTTAATTTCATCTCATTTAATTTAGCCGTCCAATTTATTATTCGTAAAATATATATTTTTATTTATCATATCATTTAAAAATCAGTTATAGCTTATAATTTTAAACGTTTTTGTCTTTATATACTAAAATAGAACCTTTTTGGTAAAAAAAACTAAAATAGAACTTATATGGGAGAATGAAAAGCACCCAATTTGAATTTGTCATATAATATTAGTACATAAATACAATATTTTAATTAAATGAAGCTTTAAAATCCACATTAATTATTAATATCTACAAGAAAATCATGCGACACAACGTTTTCAAAAATATGATCATATTATTTCTCAAACTATTGTATTTAAAACAATTAAGAGCATAATTAACTGAAACGTAAATGAGTTCCAAATTTACTATATAAAGTAATTTACCAAAAATAGATGTACTACTCAATTTATAGAAGATAAACATGTTTATGTCATTCTTTCAATACTGAAGGAATGAGAAGGTCGTATTAGAAGATAAACATGGAGTATTGAAAGATAAACATGAAGTCCTGAAGATATACAAAGCTTAGATACCATAAGTTTTAAGTTGTTTTCCTTTCAGGATAAGGATTCATCAGTTCCATTTGTGTTTAAGATTGAGTCTCAACGTTTGAATTGTATATACTTTTGTATGAGCTTTTACTAATAATTAAATTCATTATGATATCTAAATCTTCAAAGTGATCTTCCTTATAACACTGATTACACAATTATTAATTCGCAGTGTGCGGCTAGAAGAAGGGACTGTGAGATCTTTGATAGAAGAAAAAGAAGTGATCAAAGGAGTGACATACAAGAACAGTTCAGGCGAAGAAGCGACCGCCTTTGCACCTCTCACTGTGGTATGCGACGGTTGCTACTCAAACCTTCGTCACTCTCTAAACGACAACAATGTGAGTATTCCTACATATATAATTAAAAATAATAACACTAAAATATTTTAATGAAACGTTAATGACATATATAATTAATGTCATTTATCCACTATGAGTTAGCCAGTTAGTTAAAATTTTAGCATTAATGCTCTGTGATTTGATATAGGCGAAGGTTATTTCGTAAAGAATTGTCGCCTTGAAGAACCCCAAAAATAACACTTAATAATGGGTAAACCGTCTTTCACCATGTTGTATCAAATCAGCAGCACCAATATTCGTTGTGGTTTTGAGCTTTTATCAAATTATTTTCCTTCTATTGCCAATGGTGAGATGGCTTCCTTCGTGAAGAACGATCTTGCTCCTCAGGTACGCATTAGATTTGATCAATTAGACTAGATAAATATATAAATAGTTAACTAAGTTGGTGTTACTAGTACGTAGATAAGTAATACGATATACATGTACGTAGAGACTATTCATTTAACATATCTATACGTTTAATTGGTAGGTACCTCCAAAACTCCGCAAAGTATTTTTGAAAGGGATCGAAGAGGGAGCAAACATTTTTTTTTTGTCACAGAAAATTTCATTAATACTAAGAAATAGAGAATGAACCCAAAGATTGTCCAACTCTTGAGCAGAAAAAAGGAGTGATTGTATTGGGAGATGCATTCAACATGCCTCATCCAGCAATTGCTTCTGGAATGATGGTTTTATTATCTGACATTCTCATTCTACGCCGTCTTCTTCAGCCATTGGGAAACCTCCGTGATGTGAACAAAGTATCTGAAGTTATTAAGTCTTTTATATAATACGCAAGGTGAGCATATATCATGCTCATACTAATCTTCAAAATGAACATTCGAAACCTATTTAAAATTTTAAAGTATACGTGTGAAAAGCCGATGTCAGCAACAGTAGACACACTAGGGAGTGCATTTTTCGCAAGTGCTAATTGAATCAACGGACCATGCAAAAGAGGCGATGCGACAGGGCTACTATGATTACCTCTCTAGTGGTGGGTTACGCACAGAGGCGGATCTATGCTTACTAATGGGGTGTCAAGTGACACACCTTTTATTTAAAAAAAAAAATTGTATATATGTATATTCAGTAATATTAAACATATTGAACCACATTTAATATAAGTTGACACACCTTTGATTCTGACCCACTAACTCTCTTCGTATTAACTAAAACAAATTATACTACAAGCCCATATAATAACCNCAAAGTCTCAGAAATTATCAAGTCCTTTTATGTTATTCGAAAGGTTAGCACACGTCACGTACTAATCTAAAACATGATATTCTAAATAAATTTTATTTATAACAACCTCAACAAAATTTTGAAAACATGACATGATTTTGTATGGTGTAGCCAATGTCAGCGACGGTGAACACACTAGGGAATGCATTTTCTCAAGTGCTAATTTCATCGACAGATAAAGCCAAAGAGGCAATGCGACAAAGCTGCTATGATTACCTCTCTAGTGGTGGCTATGGCTCGTCGGGCTTGATGGCTCTACTCGGTGGTATGAACCCTCGCCCACTTTCTCTCATCTATCATCTATTCGTTGTTACTCTATCCGCCACTGGTCAACTGCTCT